TATTATTATAATTAGTAGTAGTACTCTAATAGTAGTTAGTTAGTTACTACTACTACTAGACACACTACACTATATAATTATTATATATTATAGATATATATATATATATATATATATATATATATATATATATTATTCTTTTGGTGGATACAAATCTCCATGTTTTGGCCTCAAAATGTGGATATAGATAGCCATGATATATATCCACACGGTGACTAATATCCCATCTCTAGAACACATCTAAACTTGCGGAAATGCCTGGCAGCCATGGAAGTGATCTTCCAGAGACCCATTTCCAGGGAACCAAACGGGCCTTTAATTGCATGAAAATTCCTGAAATGAAATATAAAAGTTTGTCATTTTTTAGTGATGAAATAATAAATGTATACATAGATTATTTGAATGTTCTAATTGGGAACTATGTATGTGTAACAGTCTTTATTCGTAGAAAATCTATTTTATGATTTTCTGTAGACATTATGAAATGTATGTTCGTTCGATTAATCTGAATGTGGAGTTCCATTTAGCTGTTTTAGCATAATCTATATACTTTATATAACAGGTTGGAACAGCAGGAAATGGTGTTGGCTGATATGCAGATAAAACCTGGTGAAGCCTGGGAATATTGCCCAAGAGCAGTATTGCATCGAGTTTCAGCTATCCTCAAAGACGAGTTCAATCTGGTATTTGATGTTCTTTTTCATGGTTATCTTGTAATGAACCTCTTCGTTCACCATTACTTGGATTTAATTAAATGGGAGAGGGTATTCTTTTGCAGGAAATGAATGCAGGATTTGAAAATGAGTTTTTCCTCCTTAAACGTGTATCATGGTAAAGATCTATTTGGTATTGGGTTATTTGAGAACAAGAATTACATATCCAACTTGCTACTCATTATTACTGAATTATGCAGGGACGGGAAACAAGAGTGGGTACCATTTGATTTAACGTCATACTGCTCAACTTCTGGATTTGATGCTGCATCTTCATACTTAACAGATGTAAACTATGCTCTTGAGTCATTGGACATTGTAGTGGAGCAGGTACCGTGATTGTTGTATAAACGACGACTAAGTATAAATACATTTATAAGATATTATCCAGTATTGAAGAAATATTGAGGTACCATATTGTTAATTAATGTGCAATTGAAATATTTATTCTTTGGGTGAAATTATGTTAGTAGAATATTTTATATGGTATTCTAGGTTACAGCTTTCTGGGATGGCATACATTATTTCATATAGTAATCTAAGTTACTGCTTTCTGGCCTGGCGAGTATCGGAAGCATACTCAGCATTTACAATCAAATTCTATTCTTGAGCAGTTTGGAGTTTGCTAGAGGCTTCTAGCGCTTTCCAAACACTTTCTACTCGTATTTATAGGATTGTTCCACGACTGCATTGACAAACTTAGCAAGTTCGATTCGAGTCACTTGGAACTACCAAATTTCAGGGATGTAACAATCCACCCCCTCTTCTTGAGGAGAGAGGGAGAAATTGGGCACGATTTCCAGGAGAACCAACATAACAATCGAACCCCTCTTCTTGAGGACAGAGGGAGAAATTGGGCACCATTTCCAGGAGAACCAACATAACAATCGACCCCTCTTCTTGAGGACAGAGGGAGAAATTGGGTCGACCCCTCTTCTTGAGGACAGAGGGAGAAATTGGGTCGACCCCTCTTCTTGAGGACAGAGGGAGGGCACCATTTCCAGAGAGAGAGAGAGAGAGAGAGAGAGAGAGAGAGAGAGAGAGAGAGAGAGTAGTAGTATTAGTTA